ATTAACTGCTTAGTGTCGAAACGTGGTGCATTTTTGTTATATTAACTGCTTAGTGTCAAGACTTAATACGTTATTTTTATGTTAACTGGTTAATATAGAAACAATGCATTATTTCTATGTTAACTGCTTAGTGATAGCTTCAACAAAGCTAAAATAATAGAATTACAGCTGTATATTGTTCTAATATATAGTGTAACTTCTTTAAGTTAATTCTGTTTTTTATTCATAATATAAACTAAATATAGCAACATAAGAAAAAGTACAAAATTTCTTTGATGTAATAAACATATTTTTGAAGTGCATTGAATGTATGTTTGTTTTGCTAAAGAACGTAGTCTACATTTACATTGTATACAGATGGCTGATACAAATATTTATAAATAAAGATTATGTTTTCAACATATAATATTACTTAAATATGTCTAAATTATTACTTTAAAGAAATATTTGCTATAAGATAGGCTACAGGAGATCTCGGCTTGCCATCATCATGTACCTACATGGAATCAGACTTAACAGTTATAAGTCACAATTAAATAAATGAAAACATGTATATAACTGTGCGTGTGTGTGTGTATTGAAAAGTAACTGAATTACAAAAAGCTGCACCCTTTTTATAAATTTAAATTTAAAATCTAAAAATTTAAATGTCTAAATTATTACAGGTCAAATTATGAAGATTTGAAATTCAGTCACGATCTCTTTGTGTCTATTGTAAATTTGCATGTCTCTTTTGAATTTTTTACTAAACTCAAGTCATTTTGGATAGGCTATTTGACCCTGAAGTATGATTCTTTCTTAATTGTCTTAAAATACATCAATAGCGAATTTCAATCTGAATGATGAATAAATAATGTTGTTTTTTTCAGTTTCTAAAGGAGTAAATTATTTGAAAAATAGCTTTTTAGACTGACCAGAAATTGTTAAACAGATCTAGGTGTTATTCACTTAAAACGTTTATAGGCAGCTTATTAAAACTGCAATTTGTTAAAAATTCAGTGAAAAAATACCAATTTAATTATTTATTGTTCTTTAACCCAGTAAACAAAATGGTACCAAATTGAAGAAATCTCCTTCAGGGTGGAAATCCTTCTTCTCTCGAGGATCACAATCTGGGAACACTAGTGAGAAGGAGCATAGCCGAAGAGGATCTTTGAAGAATTATCGTAAAGGTAGCACTGGTTCTTTACAACACACAAGGCTTGCACTGCAGGTTGGTTGATTTCATTTTTTGGCTTATTTTACTTTTTTAAATAATTGTGTATCTTGATATCATAATGAATAGTTCATGGTATCTTCTTGTCAGCAAAGGCCATTAGTGATAAATTGTCATGACTCAAAATTTCCTGTGAAGAACTCCCAAGATACATTTGATTTTAATTTAATGGATGTCCTAAACTTTTAAGATCCTGCATTATGCTAAAATAACATAAAATTTAAGGACAACAAGGGATCTATTGGCTATTGATCTAAAGAACTCTCAAGATATATTTAATTTTATCTAATGGATGTCATAAAATTTAACAACAACAAGGAACCTATTGTACAGCTATTGATCCATCTAGGCTGCCCTTATCATCCAAATATTTATCAAGCCTTCTCTTAAAATTACTGTATCCACCACATGTGAAGATAATTTTTTCCAAAGGCCAGCCACTCTGTTAGAAAAATAAAGCTATCGTAGCTGAAGATGACTCCTACCCTACCAAAAATTTACATTTGTGTCCTCCAATCTTACCATTCTCACTATTAAGTACAAAAAAAATTATGATACGTCAACACTATCAATTTCCTTAGTAATCATAAAAACCTCAATCAGATTACCTCCAACTCATATTTTTTTCAAGACCAAACAGTTTCATAGATCTTATCTTGTTCTTACATGACAATGATAACCTTTCCATCCCAGGTATCAAACTAGTAACACAGTATTCCAATTGAGGCCTAACAAGTGACCTATACAATAAAATTATAACTTTTATAGACATATATTCAATATTCTGTAAATACAACCTAAAATCATATTGTCCCTACCACTAGCCAAAACGCACTGCTGATCAACTAGAACACCAAGATAGTTTTGTTCACTAACACTATTAATGTTATTCCCATCACATTATAATTAACAGCCATCTGCAATGTACTTGCCCAACTTTGCAAAGCAGTTGCCTCCTCTTCACAGCCAGCAAAACCCAACACAGCAAATTTATTGACTATTCCTTCATCTATGTCATTGATGTAAATCAAAAAAAGTAAAGCTCCTAACATTGAGCCTTGAGGTACATCTCTTGACATTAATACATTCTGACTGATTTCCATTTGTAACAACCCTCTACTTTCTTATATCTAGCCATCTTTCTATCCAACAAGACTTATTCCCACACCTAAAAATATAACTTTGTTTTTAACAAGCCTTTTATGTGGTGCCTTGTCAAATGCTTTCTGGAAATCCATATACATTATATCCATACTTATACCCTCATCTAAATAAGAAGTAACGTTTTTAAAAACTGTCAAAAGATTAGTAAGGCAAGATTTTCCCTTAGTGAAACCACGTTGATTATCCAACAAAATTTTCAATTATATTAAATGACTTTGCAAAACATCTTTTATCCTACTTTCAAAAACTTTTTCACCATGGATGTAAGGCTGATAGGCCTTTAATTGCTGGGACAATTTTTATCACCTCCTTTGAAAAGAGGAGTAACATTAGCCAACTTTCAATCTTCTGGCACTTGCCCATTATTTAAGGACTTGTAAAAAATATAGTAGCAAGTGATGACTTATCCAGTCCTTAATCTCCTTAAACCTTGGGGTAAATATTACCTGGACCAGGAGCTTAATTATTCTTTAAACTTCCCAGTTTCTTCTTAATAAGCTCCTAATTAATGTGATCATCTTATTTAGCCATGTTTCCATCTAGCAACTTTTCAAGATGAGGAATATTGTTTAAGTGTTATTGAAAATAAAAGTATAATTTAACAACCCAGTCATCTCTCAATAATTGAAAACGTGCCATCCTTTGTCATTCCTCAAAAACCCTACTCCAATTCCTATAAAGAAATCCTTACTGTTAATTTTTAAATCTTCAGCCAACCTTTTTATACACCCTTTTCAATTTCTTAATATCTTGTTTGACTAACTTTCTTGATCTTATTTAATCCTCCAAGTCTCCCATCATAAGAATAAATTTATAATAATGCCTTGTTTAAACTCTATCCCTTATAAACTTTGTTGTTCAAATGATTTTGGTGAAGGTCTTTGATTGTATGTTATGTAAAATATGTAATATAGGTTACTTTAAAAGGAAAAATACATTGTGTTGTTTCATCAGCAAACTTTGTGTATCAAATATATCAATGTACAAGATTGAAAATATATATATATTTTTCCGCTGATTTTTCCAAGCCCGTTCCCTTGGCTGTGGTTTCGCTAGATATATATATATATATATTGTTTGGGAGATTCTGAAAGTAATTTCCTTTTATTTTTAAATCTTCTCTTTTGTCATAATTTTAGAAGCATTCCTGCTTTCTTATCGTTTTTTTTTAACAATCCTTTTTTGTGTCAAATGATTTCTCAAAATTCACATACACTACATTTACACCCATACCCTTTTCTACTTTTGCCAGATACTTAGTTTTGTTTATATACCTTTTTTGAATCTTAAAAGTATTTTTCTTTTGTTTTATTCATAGGATAAAGCCATAACAGAAGCAAATGTGCCACATACGCATGCAAAAAAACTAAGAACTGTAAGGAGTGCAGAATCACTTATTTTATCCACACCAGGTGGTGGTTCATGTCGCAGCTCTTCTGTCATAGAATCCTTTGGCTCTGTAGGTTAGTTGTTTTTTTTATTATTATTTCTCACTTTGTTAGATTTTGTAAGTATTGTTATACTTTTTGTCCTGCTGTATTGGATTTGGACACAGGTGATGAACAGAGCAAAGACGGTGGATTATGTAGCTTTATGCTTAACAACAAATAAACAAATCTTGTACTTTAGTGAATATTATTAACTGTTTTTGAAATTCATTAGTTAAGGAAGAACATTCAGTAGAAATAGATGAACGTTTATTTTGGACGTATAAAATAAATTTTACTAGATATTTTTTTATCAACATTTTTGTCCTCAGTTATATGGTGTCGTCATTTACAGATTTTTTGTTTTCTTGAAATTCTTAAAAGGGATATTGGTATATTAACATTTTGGAAATATATGTAGTAGTTTGAACAGACCTTTCTATGACAGTGAAATTATTTTATAGTTAACTTTTTGTTTAAAATGACATATTTTTTTCTTTTTACTATTGCAGAAGGAATCCAGCAGCAGCATGATAAAGTTATTCAGTTGGAGCCCAATTCTTACTTACAAAAACATGTTCGCTCATCCTCTCATGACTCCTATTTTGAGCACGGTTCAGGTCAAAAAATACTCCCAGGAGACAGTATCATAGAAGATAGTAATACCATCAACCTAGTGAAAGCCAGACTTCAAAGTCTGGACAAGTACCCTGATAGTGACGAATCACTGACATCATTTGAACATGCATGTGATACTTATATGGATAGTGACACTTTTGTTAATTTTGATAGCTCTCAGTCACTTTTATCTACTAGCTCTCCTCAAGAAGAAGCAAAAGATTTGTCTCAGGAGTGTTCATCAAACTCCTACAAAGTGGCTCGTAAACAGAAACTTATAAGTTCAGACAGTGATGTATCCAGTCCAAAAGTGCAGAAGTTAAGTTTTAAACGCTTTCGACAAGCATTCAGTTCACCTTCATTTGACAGAAAAAGTCATGTTCCTTGTAAGGACAGTAAAAAAGATTCCAAATGGACGTGTCCTGTTAAAGATAAGGATCGAGATACCTTACGAGGAAGTTTTCGTAAAACAAAAGAAAAAATATTTCAAGTTTTGACTCCTGATTCTGTACATAAGAAGTTATATTCTGGAACAGAAAGTAAGAGTGGGTCTCCAAAAAATGAACATTCTGAACCTAATATAGATAAAGTGTCTAACATTCGTCCAGAATCAGATAATGAAAACTTGGAACATCAAAATGTGAAAGAATCTTCATGCTTGGAGGACTTTGAAGATGATGAAGAAAGTACCTATAAGGGCACTATAAATATGTATGAAAATAATTATAATTTATCCACTGAAAATCAAATAACAGGATGTAAAGAGGATGAGTCTGTTATAGTTGAGATACATACTTTTGATTCATATCTTCTTGTTGAAGACGATGAAGCCGTGGATGATAGTGTGAATGTTGTTAATGAAATGTTACAAGCTGTAGCAAAGAAAATAGAGGAAGAAAATGAAAGAGCTCGAAAAGCAGAGTGTGAGATAGAACAATCTAGAACTGAAAAACTTGCAGAAAAAGGAATTAGCAGTACATCTACATTATCGGAAACGTCCGTTGCAGTGAATGCTAATAAACTTTATAGAAATGTAGAAACAAATGAAATAAAACCTACCCTTGCTCTTGCTGAACAAGACAGTTTTTCTGATTCTGCTACTAGTGATAAAGATACCAGCTCAAACTTGGAAATGGCTTTAATAAATAAAACAGAAGAAGTAAATCCTCCTTCTGGCTGTGATAAAAAATATTTAGTTTGTGATGTTAGCAAAGCACACATAGAAAAACCAACAAACTCTGATAACATCTACCAGCAACAAATATATGCAGGGGAACAGGAATCTGTAACATTTGCCACTGATCATGATGACTTTGTTGACTGTAAAGTGGAAGATGTCTCAACTTCAGAAGAAAGTAACATGGAAGAAATAGATGTAAAAAATATTACTTCCTCACAAGAGCCTGATTCGGAAAGTATTATAACTCCACAGTCGTTTCATCACACTGATTTTCAAGAAGCGAGTTGTCAGCTTCAAGATCGGGTATCTTTAGAAACGGTATACTTGGATGAGCTGGACAAAACTGTCAAGAGTGGACCTGAAGAATGTTTAAATGAGTTGCATGTAATGAATGGAAAAAATGAAACTAGTCAGATAGATATAAATGTGGAATGTAAACCCTTTTCAAAAAATGGACAAAAGTTACGTGAAGTGTCTCATTTTTCTGCTAGAAATAAAGGTTTTATTAGAGAGGGCAACATTGCAATAGATTCTCACAACCTTAACAAAGATCAGGAAAACATGTCCCTGGTTGATGAGAATAGTTGTGCTACTGTTATTGATAATCAGATCCTTGGGAATAAAAACTATGAAGTTATTCCCTCCAAAAAACAGGAGGTGGAGGTTAAAAAGAATACCTGTGATTTTGTAGAGTTTCAGAAATCTCCATGGAGGCAGAATGGTAGGCTTTACAAAGCTGCTGAAAAGATGGAAAATTTAGAAATGAGTTCATTGTCTTTTCCTGAAAATGTTGAGTCTGGTATGGTACATAGTTATCCTAGATTTGATGACAGAGCATCTAAGAAGAGCATTCATGACAAAACTGAAATGAATGTTCTGACAGGTACTGAACATTTTCCACGGACATCTCTCACTTCTAAGTCCTCCCAGCCTAGTCTGTTCACACAACTCAAGGTGTTGAAACTCCAAGCTTTCCAGTCAACAGAACCAACCAAAGAATTAACTCCCTATGATCCCTGGTCAGACCCAATACTAGATAGTGTTGTTGATCCACAAGACATCTATGAAAAGCAGATTTTCTCACCTGCTTATAAGTCATTAACATCTGGAGACAATATAGATGAAATAAATTCAAACACTTCAAATGACTTTAGTATATACAATGATACAGTTGAAGAATCAAAATTGGATGTTCCAATTAATCGAAAAGAAGCAGTTACTCAGAAACTGTCAACGAGCTTGAATATGGTCAATTCTTCTTCTAGTAAACATATTGACAAGAAAACTTGCAAGGAACCAGAGAGTGTTAAGAAAATGGTGTTTGGATTAGAAGACCTTCCTAAGACAAGTACACTTGAATCACATCCTGCCAATGGAGAAAATATTTCAGTTTCATCTTCATCAGCTACTCTTCATCCACACTTACCTTCAACAAACACAGATTCAATCCCTGTTGGAGAAAATGAGAGTATAGACAGTGAGACTGTTAGGAGGGAAAGAATAAATCGATATAAAGAGGAACGAAGAGCTCAACTTAGAGAACGATGGCAATCTGAGAGTTTCAAAAAGGACATTCCTGACAAAAAACACACAGGAACCCGGTGGAGATCAAGTGTTCCACTTTCAAGAACAGTAACCAGTCCAGATGATCAAGTTTCCTCAAAAGTAAAGAGAGAGCGAAGTCAGAGTTCAGGAACAATAGAAGAATACTCTCAAAGCCAAAAAGAGAATAAACTTCATGTCAGTGATGAAGAAGAATTGAAATGGGTTCAGGAATAAAGAAAGAGGAGAAACTACTGTAAGACTATTGTAGATAGAACTGCTTTAGAGAATTCTGGAAGATTTAAACAGCGTCATTAACAAGGAAAGAGTTGTGTAGTGCATCATTATAGTCTGGTTAATCAGCTTTTTTAAATAAATGTTGAAGATGGAGAGTACTCTTGATAGAAAATACATTTCAGACATTGTGCCAAAGTAATCTCAAAACTAAAAATTAAATTACGATTTTAATATCTTAAAGCTAACAGTTTATTTCAGGGTTGTTCATCTGCTAGGCTGCTGAAGATCAAAGTGAAAGAGTTTCCTTGGATCTTACTAATAGCTAAGGAGTGTGAAAACATTGTGTTCACTTAGAACACACTAGCATTTTTTCATATATGATAATATTTCTTCATGTCATTTTGTTTCTCAAATAATACACTTTTTGCAGTATTTTTAGAAATGTAGCAAGTCATTAAATTCTTCTAATCTTTGAAGGTTTCAAAAAAAGTTGTTTCAGGGCTGATACAGTCTAAATCTTTTGAGGCTCAAACTTATTTTGAAGTTTCATAACACCCAGTAGTTTCAACTCTGGTTATGTGTAATATATTGTTGCTGTAAAATATCTTACAAGAATGGTTTTTGTTGTAAAGCAGAATTGTACAAGTGTATGTTATCAAAAGAGTTTATTACTAGATTGATCTGATTAATGCTTAATTTTCTTCTTGTAAAAGGCTGAAATTATTTGACACCTGTACGTACTTGTAATCATTCCATTTAAAGTTGTGCTTTATCTCTTCGTCAAATACTCTTTCTCACTTAGAAAATGACTGTTACCTGTTGGTGTTTCGCAATAAGGATAAGAAATGTATAATATAAATATGCATTCCAACATCTTAAAATTTTCCTGGCTCTGAATCTTAGACAAGTTGAGAATTTTTAACTTCAAAGGTACTGTTTTTATGAACTGTTCATATATTGAATCTGATTGATTTTGTTGTTTTGAGCTTCTCATTTGAATTTCATGTAAATATGTAAATATTTAACTGTTCTACGGAAAGAATTATGCCCTTACCAACGTTGTATTTTACGTTAAAATTCAGTATAGTACTGGAGACTAAAAAGTTACCATATAAAACATTATATCTATTTCTTTTGTTTATTTTCTGCACTCATAGACTTTCAGTTGTTCTGTCTTAATATTTCAATGTGGAATTATTGATGACAAAAAATATGTTTTTATGCTTTTGGCATGAACATTTAACACTTAAAATTTGTGGTAAGTATTGGTTTATTCCTTGAACAAAGAATCATAACAACAGTTAACAAACTGTTAAAGCCTATTTAAAACACATTAAATCATAACTTCTAGAGAATCAGATTGATTAATATATATATATATGTATACAATTCTTGTTTTACTTTCTAATAGTGATCACGAAACATAAAATGGTGGACCGTTAATTTTACAACATTCTATCTATACACTGTGTATTAAGTATAGTTTTAAAACAACTTTATTGGCCTTGTACACTGTAGCTATGTTTTTTTACAGAATACTGAACGTATGTAATATGATAAGGAACATTTTCAAGATGTATCTTTTAAATGGGTCCTGTATAGGTTATCAGTATGAAATGATTATAAAAAAGCATGCCAACTGCTTTGTAACACTGCCAACAACTTATTTTACTCAAATACATAGATCATCAGGCTATGTATGGTGTTCAAGAAACAATATAAATTGCTTGAAGTAAGACTTGAAGAGTAGTAGCCCTGACAGCCTGGTGTTAAATTGAAAGTTTGGTCAAGAGTAAGTAAAATTACTTCACACTTCTTATACTGAACATTTGTATTAGTTGAGAGTTTAACATTATTATCAATACTGAATAATGCTACAGAATTTAACATTATTATCAGTCTTCAATAATACTACAAAATTTAACATTATTATCAGTCTTCAATAATACTACAGAATTTAACATTATTATCAGTCTTCAATAATACTACAGAATTTAACATTATTATCAGTCTTCAATAATACTACAGAATTTAACATTATTATCAGTCTTCAATAATACTACAGAATTTAACATTATTATCAGTCTTCAATAATACTACAGAATTTAACATTATTATCAGTCTTCAATAATACTACAGAATTTAACATTATTATCAGCCTTCAACAATACCACAGAATATACTGAAGTAAATGATTTTTGGAAGTTCCTCTTATATGTTTTTGTTGTTGTTTTTAGGTGTTCAAGCAGTGTTTTTGCTTAATCATTTATTTCTAATTGATTTTGCTGTTTATTCTAATAATGTATTAAGTTAAAATCTCACTGCATGCTCTAAAAATGTCAAGCAATTAGTCTTTGTTGCTGTCTTTGTATTTATAGCAAATAACATGTATATTTTGTCAGTTTTAGCAAAATATTTTTTCCAAAATTAAGGACAACACAAGGCATGGGGCTAAAAATATATGTATTTTTAAAACTATAATAATGTACATGTTGGTGTAACCAAGAAAATTTTTAATTTGAAGGAAAATGTTATGGGTAACTTCCAGACCTGAATGTTATTGAGGGCTGCCATCTTTTATGCAAATATTATTTGTTTATTTTTTAAAAATGTTTATGTATATATTGCTAAAAGAAACATTTGTTATCATGACTGGCTTGTACAGCATTATTAAAGGATTTCTTTGCATTTATCTTTGATTTGTTGCTTATTTTTATTCTCTATCTTTACACAACATTCTAGAAAGTTAAATGACCTTTTGAATAATATGGCACTAAAAATTAATTCATTTCTATTCTGAGAGACAAATTGCAATGCAATGAACTTTTGAAAACCTTCCTCTACAGGATGTTACTTGCAATGAACTTAATCAGTCTGAGAATAGCCCACTGTAATAATTTGAATTACTAAAAATGCACTAGTAACAGAAACTCGGTTGGTTAAAACATTTAAAATAGAATTTTGGGAAGAGCATGAGTTGGGATAGTAAATATAATTTTACAAATTGCAGCTATGCTCCTCTTTGAAGTGATATACATATTAGATTGGCAGAGGAATTAAAAAAATACCCTCGAATCCTCAAGTTTATGGGTCTTTGAATACCACAACTGTAAATGATCTATGTTCTGAAAGCTAGTGATTTTAATGATTTTTTAAATTAATTATTAACATTTTAAAATAGTAAAATCCATTCTGTTGTAAAAAAAAAGTATAATTGTTCAATGAAAATTAGATGTAAACAATTTTACCTTAAATATATATTTAAAAAAACTATTTAAAGGGCTCTAGTGTATATATATGTTTCAGTACCTTTACCTACTGTCATTTTGAAAATTTCCATTTACTCTTGCTTGTTTTAACATTTCTTTTCATCACAATTTACTTTGAGATTTTTATAGCTAATTACAGTATTTGTCAATGGAGCTGACTTTGCTAATCTTAGTTATACACACATTGTGTTGAAACCACCATGTATTTTGCAGCAAAGTTTAAGTACATATTAATTACAGGAAAATTAGGATCTGCATAATAATATTACAAGGGTGTTTTGATAATAAAAAAAAATCTGTAGTTGCATATATTTATAGTAGAACTCGGCCATGAAAGTGCAAATATTTCGTGAGGAGAGAATTCAGGATACTATTTATGGTATTACCCTGAGGAGGGACATAAAAATGAAGTTATACAATATTATAAAGCTTTAAAAATACTATCTAAACTCAACTGCTATTGAAACTAAAATTCATAAGTTTAGTTCCTCTACATAACTAACTTTAACTGTTGAAACTTTGTAGAATGGATGGCAACTGCCTCTTGTTGTGACATGAGTGTAGAGGACAACGTTTTGAAAGTCTTCCCACTTGACCAGAAGGTGGAAGACTTTAGAAATGTCATCTTCTACACTTGTCTCTCTACAATAGGCAGTTGTCATCATGAATATTCTGCCTAAACAATCTATCAAGGAACTCTTAACTGTTGTATTATAATATTTAATATAGCTTAAAATATTATTATAGGTTTTTATTATAAATTATCTCACATTTTTAGCTTAATATATGAACTAGAACTGGCTGAACCTTCTGATATATTACTAGGTTTCTGTCCCGGAACATTGTTGACCCTAGAATGCCAACACGGTTAGTTTAGTATATGGTGACCCCATGCTGGCATTCTAGGGTTAACATCATGCCTATCTAATGGTTCATTCTAATAATTATAGTTTATGATATTATATACTTATTAGTTTGTTTTATGGAATTGTTTTAGTTAATTTATCAGTTACTTTGTATAGTTCTCATCTGTATATTTAGCTTACTTTTGCTCAAATTCATTATGCATGATTTATAAAAAGTTTTGAAATAAGTTCAGTCAACAAATTATAAATAAGGCATCAATAACCTGTTGTTCAGATAAGTCTATTATATCATGAAACATTCTACTGCAAAAGTTAAGTTTTTAATTTTAAATTGATTTTATTCTTCATGTATACACTTTTCTCAATTTCTTTACATTGTAAGTAATCGTGGGATTTAAATAGAATGCTTCATGATGTGGTGATATGGAAACTAAGAGTACTGTGGGAGTGTAATATAATAATAATACAATAAAAGAACAAGTTGCATGCAGAAGTTTAAAACCTCAAGGATTCAATGTGGTTCAGGTATAGCAAAAACAGTTATCACCCATGGATTTACGATTTTGGTTACGGCTGCTCGTGTGCATTTGGCCAAGCAAACTGATACGTGGTGGCCAAGGCTTCAGCTGTGATATGCCACCCAGCATTCCATGCAACTTCAGCTAGCTGTGTGGGGTATTACAGCAGTATTATCTTGTTAAGAGTAGCTGCACAGTGAGTACTATTCTCTATCTCTATAGTCAGCAGTTCTAAGTTAGGGATTGCTATGTTTGAATATTAGGGGTCTCTGGCCTGCCTGCTTACTCCGTGTATCACAAAGTGTCATTGAAGTTGAAAATACCAACTGGTGAGCAAAATTTAAACTCCACAGGAAAACTCTGTATGAGATTTATAGAACCAAGGAGGTAAGACTCCAACATCTTTTATATTATTATACACACATTTGTTCAAAGGGTTTGTATTGTAATGATTTTTCTTTGAAAGAGAAATTTAAAAAAACTTAATTTCATTAAATATTAAAAAATTACTCCTGTCATATCTTCATCTGTGCTTAAGTAAATATAGTTTCAGGAAATAAAACAATTAGGGTTTGAAGTTTAAGTTTTAACTGTAAAAATTCCTAATAATCGCCAGTCGAGGTGAATTAATGTACTTAATTAGCCCACTTGTTCAACTACGATGATTTAGCCTCATTTCATGGCATCAGTTACATCTATTAAGGGTTAGGAATGATCTATTCTTCACAATGTAGAATTTAATGTAATTTCCATTACTGCCATTTGGCTTTTAACCTTCAATAGTAAAAACTAAGTAATTATTGGCAAAAAGTATACATTTAAAACTAACCTGTTTTCTCTTATCACCAGGTTCTTTCTAATTCAGCTTGTATTTACACAACCTGTGCTGCTTTTAATTGAGTGTTCTTGCAAATTTAAAAAAAGAATAATGTTTAATCGTAGATATTAATTGGTGTGGGAATGATTTACGCGTGTTTTGTTTTCTTTGTGTTTACTATTGATTCATTTGAATTCCACGTTAATAAAAGAAATACAGATCAGACTAGGACATTGAATTATGATAAACTACATGTTAGTTTATTTCCTGAAAGAATGAGATAACATCTAAAATTAGGTATTTGTTGTAATTCTTTTCGTTTAGCTTCTTTAAAACATCTGAGGAATACAAAAGATTAAACTTTGAAGATCAAAGGTGTTGTTATATATGTAAATTCATAATACAGAATCATGAACACCTGACACTGCATTATTTTTTATGTCATAATATCTTGATAATAAAGCAGAAATAAGTACAAGTTAGTAACAAAAAATCCCAATCCTCCACAATTAAGTATGGTTCAAACAGCTAAGTCTTTCATTTGTAAAAGTCCAATACAACATAACATTAAATTTTAGATAGTTTATTAATAATAGTTTCAATAATATTAACAGCATTATATATATATATAAAACAAAATCACCTGCAACAATCAGATTAACTTCTACACAAAAATAACGTGATTTTATTATTCCTGCTTGTTGTCTTGACTTTCAATTAAGATAAAAAATTCAACTTTCAGGCATAGACACAAGTGTATGTCACTACAGTCAAAAATAAAACGTGTGATAAGCATTTGAATTAGCAAGTTTCACCATGTCCCATAAATAGCCTTTTACGGCAAGTAATAATAGTGTAAATTTTATTATTCCCTTTTGATATATATATATTATAATGGTGTTAGTTTAGGCATGCACGCTTCTCTCCTCTAGTATTGAAATATATTTTTTTTTATAAGCTATCTGATTACTTACTCCCCGTTAATATTTTACACCATTTAAGCAATAGGATGTTGGTGAAGAAGAATGTTTATTATTTATCTAGCTGTTTCGTATGTAACGGTTCCATACAGCAAGTAAACAGTGCAGAAAAAGAAATTGCTCAGAAGTCAATTGTTATTAATATGCACAAGCATAATTAATCTTTATTTTTAAAGTGGTTGCATTGCTGTACTCATTAGTAATAAACTCTTAAGCATGAAAGTGCCAACAGATTCCAATTGTCTTGCCAACAACAAAAATTTAAACATATCTTACATATCTCAAGCACCCAAGGTTTTAATATCTATATAGTAATATAATAAAGTTGAGCAAATTAATATCACTTTTAATTTGATATCTAGCTGATATACAAAAACTGGCTATCTAAATATTATTTTCATGTCAATAAAACAAGATCATTACATTATCTCTGTTTATAATCTTTGTTTTTTTACATTAGTAGGATATTGTCTAAGAAATATTCCAACAGCCTGTAGATTCACTAACAACTTTGAAAATGTGGCAATGGCCATCACCAAAAATAAAAGCCTTAAGTAAATTTATGCAGTTCAAGTAAGGCATAGTGTACAGCAGCCACAAATTGTACATATTATGTGTTCATACAAGAGATGAGTTCATGACATATTTGGTTATATTGCATACTATCACCTGAAATACGTCTCATTTTCAGTCCCCTTTCAGAGGGCCTTGGGCCATCATACACTTCAAGCTCTATTTGTACACCATCAGGATGCTCTAATGAAAAACCTCTTTCCAAAGGCTGTAGTACTAGTGGCAATCCTTTTGACCCGAGTCTTTGTTGAATCTGTTGAAGAAGTTCTGCACAACATACAAAGTTGTCACCAGCTCCAATATTAATTGTTAGGCAGATGCTCCCACTTGATGTTTTCTGGAGCTCCGGAGTATCAATATCAAACTCTAGAAACTTAGACGAAATAGGGGAATGAGATGTACCACGAGAAATATAATCGTCAAATAATTGTGGTGTAATGTCTCTTCCTGGGTTAACAGCTTCTAGTGCAAGAGGTGGAAAAGTCTGTCTTAACTGTTTGTTACTTCTAAATGATTCTCTAGTGGTCTGAATTGTTGACCACATTAATAAAGACGATTTCAAATTATTACAGATACCTTCGTTCTGATTTAATGAATTCTTTAATACCTGGTCCTCAGAATTAAAATCAGTTGCTGAATGTAAATGTTGAAGTTCACAAAATGTTTCTCTTTTGCTGCAATCCATGCTAACATTGAAATCTTCTAAGCTCATACATTGTGGTGGTGTTGGGAGAAACTGTGGTGAACATGTGGCCAAAGTTTGAAGTTTGCTTGACTTCTTTTCTAATGGTGAAACTGTAGTTGTATCAATGGTGTCGGGGTATTCACATGTGGGAGATAGTTGTACCTCCCCTGTCTCATCTGTAATTCTTATCTTTGGAAACTCTTGACTGTGTGCTGAAAAAGACAAACTAGTTTGAAATGGCTTTGGATCTCTCTGATGAGTATGTTCTGTAGCATCTTCCTGGATCATACCCAAATTCTGAAAACCAGGAGAAGAGTTGTTCCGAGGGTGTTGACCAACTGAATTTGGAAGCCTAGGATAAATAGCTGACAAGCTAGAAGGAGAATCAAGCAAAGGTTGTGGGGAAGGAGTTTGTTGTTGAGTTGATGAGATTTCACATGCTCCAGAGTATGGCTGTGATGTACTTCCTGAACATGTTTCTGTACTGAACAATCCTGTTGGTGGTGAGGATGAGGAAATGACACGCTGTGTATTTCCATAACTTTGGAAAGGATAGATGGGCGAATCCTGTATTCCAAATCCGACAGGACTACCTCGATGGTAAAGCTGGAGTTGTTGCAAGTGTTGGGTGAGAGCAGGAGGAGAATTAGTACTACTAGAGGAAGTATGATGTATAGGTGACCCAGAAATTGAAGGGGGTGACGAGATGGAAGGGGTAGCTAGACTAGGATGGAGATGAGACATCTGCTGTATATGAAGAGAATGCAGTCTTTGCATCTCTGCCTGAATCTGGCAATCTACAGTTCCAGTGTCTCTCTGAAAATAACAAAAACTTATTAGACATTTAGTATGGAAAAATATAATGATTTTCGTATTTTTTAGAACTTTTAAATTTTTAATATGAAAACTGAAAACAATAGTAAACTTTACAGTTTAAATGCTGGAAGCTGGCAAAAAATTAGAAACCAGTAAGTCTGAAATTTATGATAAAATCCCCCCCCCTCCTATATTCCTCTTAAATTGCCAATTTTGTATTCAAAATAAGAGGCATCAATAAGTCATATAAGCATCCATCAGTTCATTTTTAAAATTCATTATTTAAAGTTCAATTTTTTTTAACAGCCATTTAAGATGATAAAGATATCCTCAATATCTTAACCTATATTTTCAATGTATTTGTTTTAAAATGTTTTCCTGAGGGAGCTATTGACAATGTAATCATCCAGAAAATTTGTGTTGTGAGCAGAATGTAAGTGTGGTTGGTATAAACAGAAGAAGCAAATCAAAGAGCAGTTAATGAGTTGATTAAGAAGTTAAAGAGTAATCAGTGAGTTGGTTGAGTGTCAGAAAAATTATTCAGTGTTAGTAGTAACAGTTATCATACCTTATGATGTGCTTGTTTATCTTTTAAAGCTAATTAAGTTAGTATATATGTATCATTAGTCTCAGAATTTCTGTTTAAACATTGTTTGTGATCTTAGGCTTACAATTTGTGTCAAAGTGAAGTAACCTTTAGCAAACATTATTGAAGAAATAAATTAATTCAATATCATTAGGTGTTCTGGACTTGACATTATTTTTACCAAATAATCCAAAAAAGTTCTGCAGAAAAAATGCAAGCTAAATATAAAATAAAAAAATTTTACACTAAAAAGTATTTCAATAAAATTTAAAATGAGGTATTTACTTGTACTTATTTTAAGCTAAACATGCTTATGACAATAACCTGCAATCACATAATGATATATTTCTTTAAAAAATGGTGAAAGTACTTGTAAAAGTAAACAAACTATAATGATGTATACCTGTAACTGTTGATATTCCTGCTGAAGAGATTTCATTGTTGGAATTCCTTCATTCAATAACTGGTTATTTGGTCCGGAAAGAAAAGATTGATTATAAAGACGCTCTTGTACAGAGCGGTTAGGGCTAACAGTTGTGCTCCCATCACTTGTTCGACGCATTACTAAATAATTGAAAAAAGTAAAATTAAAAGTATAAATATATTATAGGTATATGCTTACAGTTACAAAAGTCTAAAGCCAATGTCTTTAAAACAATTTATACAAGATTATATTTCTAATACTTGACATCACAATGAAATCTAATATTAAAGAAGAAATTTATAAATTTAAATTTATTTATTTCATTAATTAGTTGAAAGTATCATCTGTGTATTTTAAAGCAATGGAATCAATAGATTGATTTATAATATTATGCTTACAAGCCATCATACAAAGACTATTAACATTCAGAAACTTAATCTTGAAAGGATAGGTAAAGCAATGGAATCAATAGATTGATTTATAATATTAGGCTTACAAGCCATTATACCAAGACTATTAATATTCAGAAACTTAATCTTCTATTAAAAGCAATCTATTACAAAACAAATTTCAGAAGTCTAGAAAAAACAAAAGTTTCAAAATTATTCTAATTTAATCTTATGTTTTCAGTACAATATGTTGAAATTCAGTAATTTATTAAAACAGCTAATGAATTGAAGAAAGAGTGTAAAAACTTTACAAGACAATTGGATCGATTATTACTAAACAATAAGGTTTTATAAATTATGAATTGTATAAATTCTTTATCTAGGTGATTTAGGATAATAAGATCCTTTGCTATTTAGGAATAGTTCAAAAGGGTTCATGAAGTCCTGACTTCTGAAACCATATACCTGGCTGTTTATCTATGACTGTTAGAAGTCCCGATCTTCTCTGCCTAACAGGAGTTTGTATTTTCCACTGACATTCTTGAGTTTCTTCAACACTGCTTCTTGGTAGGATGTGCTTCATGTGGTTTCGGGACCTAACAAGAATCACTCCAGACAGATTATATAATAAATGATTTAGATTTTTTTTTAAATACAAATAATCCTAAACTGAAATTCTCCAACGAATAGTTGTTAACTATCTTTAACTGTTGGCTATGTAGTTTCCAGAAAATATTATAAGCCCATAATTTATTAATGAAAAATTACAATTTAAGTTTGTGATACAATTATAAGAGATTACTCTTACCTTGCTGTATCATGTTTGTCATCATTATCACTGATTTTACATTCATGTGGAGTTAAAGCTTGTAATGTCCCCGAAGTAGCAAGACAAGCTGAAGTGAGCTGAAAAAATGGAAGAAATGTTGCACATTCCAAGTAAAAACTAATGTTAATAAACATAATGATGCTAAAAAATAAAGATATATGATGTGAAATATAATCTTAACGAGGCCAAAATGTGGTGAAAATGTTTTATATCATCATTGCTGGTAGTACTGATTTTTCACTTTTGACTATAATATCATTTAAAGTTAAGTTTCATAAAAAGTCCAAAACCAGGACAAAAACTAAAACTGGATTTGATAGAACTTCCAAAGTGTTTGGCAAATGTAACCTATTTTAATAAGGATATATTGCTACATTCAATGTAAATTTGGCCACAAACTTAAGATATTTCAGCATAAACAACAACTAGATATATTTTAAATAAGATCAGTAACAAAAGTGTATACAAGATGATCTTTAAAAATTGTTTTACAAAAAAGAACAATAAGTGAGCTTTAAAACTTTAATCCCCATCTTCAAGACAACAGCAGCTGGTGCTTTCAAATGAGAAGAAAATTTATGTTTAATTATATTTTTCTTTGTACTATTCTGTTGGAAAAATCTCTCAATTTTCCCATAAAATTTTCTTACAATGGATATCTCATCACAGTTAAAATTGAAGTAATAGGAGACAGAAGATTGTTTTCTGATCTTTCCCCGGTGTTTTACATATGCTTTTCGTGCTTGAAAACAGAAAGAGGATAGTAAAAATATTTGTTCAGAAAGTTCAAAATATTGTTCAAACAAAGGGCAAAGAATTTTGAATAAATTGCCAGTGAAATCAGTTATTGGCATTTCACAGAAAGGAATTGTTACGACAGCAGAAGTCATGCGATGCTGGAAGCATGCGTGCTGGAGTTTCTAGAAGGATCATGACTTTTCCTGGGAACTCTAGTCTGTTCCAGGTGCCCTCTTTTTTGGTATATAAGCCCGGAAAATAAAGCAGAGAAATAATGACAGACAGATAGATATAGAGACAGATAATTGAGTCGAGCGAGTGGTAGTGACGGTAATATAAAGTGTGTGTTTTGTTATCAAGATTGCAAACGTATTGACTGTGTAAATTCTGTGTATTACAAAGTTGTATCGAGAAAGAATAAACTAGTTTTCATTAAGAAAGGAAATGTATCGCTGAAGTTTCTTGGAAAGAATTTCTACAGGAAATTAACAAACAAGCAGATATGCAACAGAATGTTTTGATAACTAACTTGGCAAGGACCTTATCGTAATGTGCCCTGATGGTGTCACCACAAGGTTAACATGTAAATATGGTAGAAACATTCAATACACTAACGTAAAAAACTAAATACAATAAGTTATGTACCTGTAATATAATATCACACTTATGTAAATAAACTTACAGGCACAAACTGTTCTCTACTTGAGGGGTGGATAAGTGATTCCTGTAATAGATGTTGCTGAAAGGTCTGAATGTTGGCTCCACTATCTGATGCTCGGCGACTTAACCCTCCAACTAAGTGAAACAAAAATAAGGTATTTTGATCCAAATTCATTAATTTTTTTTTAATCTCATAGAAAACCTGAATAAAAACATCAATTTTCAAACAATTGGATAAAAACTGCTAATATAAATCTAACCCATATAAAAGCCAGTGTGTGTGTCACATCACATTTGATTTCTCAAAATAAGAGGAGTCATAAAAGAATAGTTCGATTACTGTCTGCTCATTATGATTTTAGTGATGTGGTGCAAGGGAGCCATGGTGGTGGTGGTGGATGCCATGAAACTTTTTAAGTATAGTGAGTATTGGTATTGTTATGACAGTGGAAGTCATGTAACGATGGGAGCATGTGCACTGGAGTTTCTCGAAGAATCGTGAATTTGCCTGGCAACTCTAGTCTGATCAAAATCCCCTCTTTTTTAATATACAAGCCTGGCAAAGAAAGCCAGAGGGATATAGATAATTGAGTCAACCAAACAGTAGTGATGGTGAGCTGTAAATTGTGTGTGTTTTGCAGTCATTGCATAGAGCAGTGAATCTCTGTGATTTAAGTTTATAAAAGTACTGATTGTGAAATTACTGTGTGCTAAAAGTTTGTATCGAGAAAGAATAAACTGGTTTAACTAAGAAAGGACTCGTATCACTGAAGTTTCTCGGAAAGAATTTCTACTGGAAACTAACAAACAAGTAGATACACAACAGTATAATAAGCCAAAAGTAAAGATGTAATGTGGGATCATCTAGCCTAGAGTCAAGTGCATAAAATTTATCACAAAAGTAAAATTATCGATTCAATTTTAAATTTAAATCATTTCTGAAATTTTGATGTGCTTTACACTAGTTTATTATATGTAGCTATGTTTTTTGTGCAAAGCTACATGTTTTAGCATGATAAGCCCTTAAGACAAGATCCCCTCTTTTTTAATATACAAGCCTGGCAAAGAAAGCCAGAGGGATATAGATAATTCAGTCAACCAAACAGTAGTGACGGTGAGCTGTAAATTGTGTGTGTTTAGCAGTTATTGCATAGAGCAGTAAATCTCTGTGATTTAAGTTTATAAAAGTACTGATTGTGAAATTACTGTGTGCTAAAAGTTTGTATCGAGAAAGAATAAACTGGTTTAACCAAGAGGGACATTTACTGTTGAAAAACATATTTTAATCAAAAGTTAAATATATTGGGCTTGAGATATAATAGAATTAAAAGTGATGCAAATAACAACGAATAAAATTAAGTTACAAAAGGTGATATGTACTGATAGGGCTTTATCTTTCAAAATTTAAGAAAATGTAAACTGAAGATATGTAAATATGTTAGTGGAATAAGAACAATTCAAATTATTATCAATTAGCTAAAAGCAATCACATACTTATATCTACTTTTCTTACTATTGCTCATAGAGCTTTTTCATCAGTCTTTAGTTATGAAAATCTTATTAAACACTAACTTTGTGGTACTTAATAGTAGGTATTTTATTCTGTATTTAACATAGAAAATGAATGTGTTATATTAAAATGATTTTAAATATGCAAATCAGCAAGTAATGTGACAACCATATAAACTCATAGTGGATCGACACATATCAAAACAAATTTTGAAATAGGTCATATGATGCCACCAAAAACTGATTGCTTTAGGGAAGGTTATGTAACAGCCCACTCCAATGCAAAATATTTATAAACTAACTCAGATCATAACAGTGGGTTCAAATTGGTGATTTAGAATTTTCAAGATGGTGATATCCCTTGTAATTAATGGCATAAGAAAATAGTCAACTTGGAAAACCATGAATATCCATCCAGATAGATACCTCCAACAAGTCATATCACAGTCATGGTAATAAAAGCGTAGCATCTTGTAACAGGTAAAAACTCACAAATGCAAATGTCAGTGGTGGTAGCCATCCATGTGTCCTAGGCAAAAGTATGTGACATAAGCAAGAAGCAAGGCCAACATGGTATAGGCTCATCAAGATACAGCTTCCAACCATGTTAAACCTCACATTCAACCTTCAGATAATTAATGCAGCTGGAAAATAAAATGGATATTCATGCCATTACATACAAAGATACACCTGTATAGATGCTGAACACAGTGCTTATGATTTGAATATTATAACTAGCACTGTAAAACCATCATCCTCATACATTCGATGGATTACAGAAACCATGTATGGAGGAGTGGTGTGCTTTGAGCATGATAACTTTATGATGGAGCCTTTTTAACTAGAAACTAGGCTTCAAGGCCGTTGTCAAGATGCATGGTCATCAGCTAAAGCATAATTAAATGTGGTGACATGGACTGTAACAAAGTGGTGAGGCACCAAAATCATTATAATATGGGATACTCAATCCTCTGTACAGATATTAAAACTAAACTCTTCAAATAACTAGGTGTATGAATACACATAAAGTAAATGGAAAAATACAACTCCATCTATAACAAAAGAAAGTAATTCTCTCTGATCTTGATTTGAGAATTGGTACCTAAGGGATGGATTTATAGTGTGAGCTATCAGACAGCAGGGTCTGTGGAACAGATGAGCTGCAGTTTTTAAGTAAAACCATTCAATACTGGAGACCTTTCATAGCTAGAAACAGTGGACTAAACAAGTGCAAAATGAGCAGAGAATAACAGTACTTTTGTATGTAAGTGTTGTTTCCAGTATCTCCTTACCTCTTTCACACAAAGCTATCTCAATGTTCGTCTGCCCTCTAAGCATTGCTAGAAAAATGTTTGTAATCAGTGCACCAGTCAGTATACCCCATCAATTTCTCGCCATTTCTCAACACATACATATCACGTGACTATTCTCCACCAATAGAATTGTGCCACAGCTAGCTCCTTCTGCTATTCCTGCTCAATTCTAAACTTTCTCACTTACCACAGCAGTGTTTAAATGTGTGTGTTTTTTCACATGTGACCACTGTTTAGGAATATGCTTCTTTGCCATTTCAATTTAAAAAAATAGTTTTGTTTTATATCAACCTCTTCATCAGTGGACCATCATTCATGTACTTTATCAGTAAAGCAGAAGGGGATTTCTACCCATCCCTGCCGACCCTTTGATTGAATAAATCGGGGCTGGTCTGCTTTCCAAAATAGGGAATTGCAAATATCCATTGCATTTTCTCCAGTGTGACTTTCCTCCAGACTCCCCAACGTGTTTATCCCCCACCATAGGGGTTCTTCCCACCTCACAGTTCCTAGTTCATGGGGTGGTGGACCATGGAGGCTTCCTCCTGAGTGAGTTCAGATACTGAATTTACGGTACATACTCATGATTATCCACTCAGTGAGAAGGGGGCACAGGTGGTTTCCCTCCTTCCATTTCCCCTGGATGCTTTTTCCCAGGTGGACAAATGTCAGTTGGAGGGTGTCTGGCCTATGAGGGATCCTCCTTGTAATGCCAGGTTTGGGATGACAATGCCCTGTTCTGTTGTGTGCAGTACACGACTTTCTTCTTGTTATTTCTAGTTGCAGGAGGTTCTTTCCCTGCTCCTACGGTTGAGTTTGGAAGGCTTCGCCTGCCTCGTAATACTGGCAACAGGACGTACCCACTGTTCCTATGGTTGGGCAAATGTTCTATATCATCCTTGTAATTATGGATGCAGGATGTCTCTTCCCTGCATTTACAGCTGGGTGATTTATAATTTTGCCCATAATACCAGTTCTTATGGTTGAGTTGAAGCAACGGCACAACCACATAATTCCAGGTTCATTTTGTCATACTTCTTGCTCCAACAGTTGTTTTATGAGTTTGTCCAGTTTTGACCTAAAGATCACTTCTTCTTCATAATTCTGATTTGCTTGATGACTGGCACTCTGTTTACTGGTTGGTGTTCATAGATGTATATAACATGGTCCACATGCCCTAGCCACAGTTTTGTTGTTACAATGTTTTTTCATCCTCAACCTCCTAATGCCAAGAATGAGTTATGGAACCTCATCTGTCTGGTTGATGTTGGGTATGTACCTAGCTAATTTTGTTTATATGTTGCTATAGCTTGTACCTCTCAGAACATGTTACGCTTGAGCAAGGAATAAGTATAATTTAGCATAAAATATTTTAATGATTTTTACTGGAAAACAATGCAATGTATTTAATGTCCTATGTTGAATATGCAGATGTGCCCTTCTGCAGCTGCTAAAGTATAAGTCAAGATCCTGAGCCAACAATATTTTGCTTCCCATCCCATCTCTATTAGTGTCACATAAGTAAAATAATTCATTAAATTATAACAAAAATAAATAATATAAAACCATGTTAAGGACTGTTACAAGCAATATTATGGCAGGGTGGGGAACATGGGCCACACTGTGTATCAGGTGCATGTGCCCTCGGGTCCCAAAAGTGTTAATTTTGCATATCTTACGAGCGAGCATGTTGGGACTGAGTACCACCAGATGGGCTTCTGGACCAAAACATTTCTATTTTATATATCTCATAAGTCAGAACTGAGTTGGGCCCCTGGGGTAACTACCCTACCTATATGTATGCCACTGCACTACTGCACATGCATCT